GGCTCAGGCAATCCTTCTGCCTCAGCCTTGCAAGTAGCTAGAACTACAGATGCATGCTACCACGCCCAGCTAATTTTTTGATCTGCTGTAGAGATGAGGTCTTGCCAAGTTGCCAAGGCTGTTCTTAAGACAGGATCGTGCTATGTTACTCAGTGCAGTGACATAATCTTTGCCTACTGTAGTCTTGAATTCCTGGTCTCAAACAATCTTTCTACCTCAGCCTCCTGAGTAGCTGGGATTACTACCACACCTGGCTAATTTTTAGATTTTTTTGTAGAGATGGGGTCTTTCTAGGTTGCCCAGGCTAGTCTCAAACCCCTGGCCTCAAGCAATCCTTCTACTTCAGCTTCCTGAGTAGCTGGGCCTACAGGCATGCACCACCACACTTGGATAACTTTTTAATATTTTGAAGAGACAGGGTCTTCTATGTTACCCAGGCTACTTTCAAACTCCTGGGCTCAAGTGATCCTCTCACGTTGGTATCCCAAAGTGCTGAGATGACAGGTGTGAGCCACTGTGTCCGGTTTATGATTTTATTTTAATGACCTAAGTAATATACAAATGCCTGCTCACTGTAAAAAAATGGCAAAATCAAACTAAAGTGTAGAGAACTAAAAGTGAAATTTCCTCTCTCACTCCTTTCCCAATGCCACCACCTTACCTCTAGGAAAATATGAACAGGAAAGAGAATGTTTCCCACCTCTCCATATCCTGTTTCAGCCCTTCTCTCTCTATGAGTTTACATGCTCTCTCACACGGGAAAATGTCCAGAGCTGACTGGGACATACCTGACGTTGGCAGCACCAGGTTGGATTTGTGGTTGGTGATCCTGGAGTCCGGGCCCTGCAGGATGTAGCCATTTTCCTGTCTCCACGTGAACCAGCTCTTGGTCTCAAGGGCAAGCCTGACTTCTCTCTAGCTCTCTGCTCCCCTGCAGCTGGTATGGAAGTGGGATCTCTCAACTATACAACCTGATGCTGAGGCCCAACAGACTTGGGGCTGCTGCCCCCACCCACTCAGTTCCTCTGCAGTCTATTGTGTCTGAACATGTGTGACCCCAGGTTCCGAGTGAGGCCTGGAGGTGGAGACCTCACTTTAGCCTTGGGCTCGTGGGGCATTCTCTAATCCAACCATTATTTGAGAGCCCTGGATAAAATTCTTGCTCAAACAAAGTGGCATGGAGAAAAATGCATGAATTGGCATGCAAAAAATTATATACAATATATTGAAAATTAGTTGTGAAAGCTCCTTAAGAAAGAAGGCACCATATTAGAAATCTCTTCTCCATACACGTCCTTTCCTGAGCTGGAAGAGATCATCACTGTGAAGCAGATGAGTGTCATCCAGGAGTCACGTTGCACAAACCAAGCCCACGTGCCCTTAGACCTGGAATCACGCTTAGTACGTGAGGCACACACTCCTGAGAAGGCCTGGGAATGACCCTGGTTGGGAGCACAGGCTCTGGTGTATCCTTAGCTTCGTTCAGGGGCTGCAGGGGACCTGCATGACTTTCTCTGATTTTCTTGCCAAATGTGCACATGGTACAACTCCTCTGTTCTCTCTTTACTGTTTGGCTAATAATCCTTGGAAGGTGCCTCATTGTTCAAAATTCTGAAAGGGAAGATAGATAAGAGGCCCCCTAGCCCCTTCTTAATTTGGGATCTACTCCAGATCCTTTTCTGTGCATTTACAAGGGGGACCTAAAAAAAACCTGGAATTCATTTATAAAAATTGTGTATTTATTCTTACACATTTACACTTCAGTTGCCTTCAAAGTGCTCTCCGTTTGATGCAATACACCTATCGAGACGCTTTTTCCACTGCTCAAAACAGTTTTTGAACTTGTCAGTTTTAATTCCTTTTAGTGCTTTTGCCATTTTTTGTTTCACCTCTTCCATGTTGGCAAAACATTTCTCTGTGGGGATTTTTTTTACCCATACAAACCAAAAAAAAGGCACTCAGGGTGAGATCAGGTGAATAGGGAGCGTGGGTCATGGGGGTCATGCCGTTTTTGGTCAAAAACTGCCGAACACTCAGCACGGTATGTTCATAAATCACCCACCATGAAATGGGCGAATGCATTGAAAGAATCTCCAAAAAAAATTCACTGAATTTGAACACAGCCGAGTCTCACAACAATGCTAGCTGGTACACTGATGCTGATGGGTTCCCAGAACACTTACCTAGTGGGGAAGCCTGTACTACAAGAGGTCTGTCCTCCAAAGGATAATTCCAGTTTTGGGGGTTACCCTTCGTAGAGGAATAATACTATTTTTTGTTTTTTTACATAAATAGTAACATATAATACATGTCATTCTGCAATTTAATGTTTTCCCTGAATAATAACATTTTGGTGATTCCCCCCCAACATATCAACAGAAAAAGATCTCCTAATAGTAGTCTTTAAAACTATTCCATAGTATGGATATTCTATAATATTTGTAACCATCTGTCATGGTGAGCTTTTTTTGAGTTGGGGTCTCACCAGGGTTGGAGTGCAGTGGTGCAATTATGGCTCAATGCAACCTTAACTCTTGGGTTCAACCAATCCTCTGAGACTCCAGGCACATGTCACCATAACTGGCTAATTTTTAAAATTTTTTGTAGAGACACAGACTAGTTATGTTGCCCAGGTTGGTCTTGAACTCCTGGGTTAAAATGATCCTCCCACCTTGGCCCCCAAAGTGCTGGGATTACAGGCGTGAGTCATGCCCAGTGGGACTTTCTTTTTCGGTTGTGTCCAGTTTTTGCTATTATAAACATGACAGTAATAAACTTCCTATTTACATATACCTTTACATATTTATGTGAGTATTTCTAAAATATAAGTTAATAAATACAGAATTGCTAGATCAAAGAGTATACTTAAGATTTTAATAGCTACTGCTGAATTGTCCTCCAAAAACGTTTAATGACTTTCACTCCCACACTGTATATTCCCCCAACACCCCAGTCTTTTTAATTTTTGCCAATATAATGGCTAAAAAGAAGTATCTCATTTTATTTTTGTTTCTTTGATATTAGAGAGATTGACTATCTTTTTAAATATTTATTGGCAATTTCTATTTTTTCCTTGGGAAAATATTTATAGCTAAAAATATGTTTTCCACTGGGTTATTTGTATGTTTCTTATAGATTTTTAGGAGCTCTTTTATAATGAATACTAATCTTTCATTGCAAATATTTCATCTATCCTGACACTTGTCTTTTACTTGTATATGATGTCTTTACTGTAACCATTTTTTAAACAAGGATGCTTTCCAGGTATTAATACAATTTTGCTTTAGGCCCTTCTGCCTCAAAATTATACTTTTAGAAGTCTGTACTTTTTTCTGATACTTTTGTAGCTTTAGTTTTTCATGTTTATTTCTGGAATTATTGTGAATTTGTGAAGTGAGATAGGGCTCTCTGGCTTCACAGCTTCTCCAGTGTCTCAGTGCCAATTATCAACCATTTTTTTTTCCCTGACTGATTTGAAGTGTCACCTTTATAATATATCAAATTCCTATGTACACCTACATCTATCTTTGGATCCTATTCTTCTCCAGTGACCTATCTGTATATTTCAGCCCTATGAGAATCACACTTTTTAATTAATATATCTCTATGGTAATTTTTTGATATTGGTAGGACACAGCCACCATCATCTACCACTACTATAACCTGCAATAATTTTTTAAAGCTATTCTCACACTTTTTTTTTTCCTATACAAACTTTATAAATGGGTCTTATTTCTTTTTTTTTCTTTTTACTTTTTTAGTTTTTTTTAAAATTGGGGTCTCACTCTGTCACCCAGGCTGGAGTGCAGTGGCAAGATCATGGCTCACCACAGCCTAAACCTCCTGGCCTTAGGCGATCCTTCTGCTTATGTCTCCTGAGTAGCCGGGACTACACGTGTGTGCCACCACACCCGGCTATTTTTTTGATTTTTTTTTGGTAGAGACAAGGTTTTGCTATGTTGTCCAAGATGGTTTGCTATGTTGAGAACTCCTCGGCTCAAGCAACCCTCTCATCTCAGTCTCCCAAAGTACTGGGATTATAGACATGAGCCACTGTGCCCGGCTACATCATATTTTGTTTTGGAAAAAAAAATCTATGAATTAAATGGGTTTGTACTGAATGTATGCAGTAATTTGAAGATAACTGACACCTTAACAATAATGAGGTTTCTCCTCCAGGAACACAGAATGTTCCTTCATTTATTCCACTCTTGTTTTATACTTGTATGGAGAAATATGTGGTTTTCTTAATCAGGTTTTGAGTATTTTTTGTTGTGTTTGTTCCTAGGTGTTATCATTTTTGTTGTGGTATCTTTTTCCATTATATCTTATGGTTGGCTCTTGGTAGTCTATGAAAAAGCTATTGACTATAGTAGATTGATCCTGAATTTAGTCGCTCTAATGAGTTCTTTATTAGTTCTAACAGTAGTTAGTTGATTCTTTAGAATCTTCTATTTGGAAAAACAGTATCAGCTGCAAAAAACTACATTTGCGTATATTCCTTTCTAATCTTAACGTTTTCCATTTGTTCTCCTTGTCTGAACCCACTGCCTAGGATTACCAGCACAATGTGGGACCACCTCAGTGTGAATAACTTTAACACTTGTTACTAAATTTCAAGGGAACAATTTGAACATTTTACTGTTAATGTTTGCTTTAGATTTCAGGAGAAAAGTCTTCATTAAGCTAAGGAGGTTTCCTTTTCATCTTCTCTGAAATGGATCAGAAATAAGCTTTGAATTTAATCAACTTCCTTTCAATTTGTTCAAATGAATTTAACTCAATTCTTCAAATAAAAAGCAATTCTCTTTTGGTCACGTAGAAGGTTAATGACCCTATCCTATATTTGATGAAGACAGTATAGTATAACCATGTCAAAGAGACCTCTGGTGCCACCAGAGTTGGTGTATGTTTAAAATGTAGAGCTAGAAATATTTTTTGGAGCACATCAAAACAAATCACATATTTATGCTATTGGTGACTTAACGTGAATCCCTCACCTTGAAATCATCAGGAATGAGGAGTTTTGATGTTCGTAGAAAATTCAAGATATATCTGAACATCTGTCCATCTCTGTCAATGAAATAGTGCTGTTTGAGACTGTCCAAAACAATGGGTTCTGTACCATCAAAAAGTCTTCCAATTCTGTGATAGAAAAGAGGGAACAGTGAAGACAATTAGATCAATGGCTCGTCCAGTAAGACCAAGAGCTGTCTTTTATCACTGTCAAAGGTAGCACTTTTGAAGATGGCAGTCAGGAAAAATCACAGTTCTTTAAGAAGTGTTGGTCTCAGCTTGATAAATATCTCAGGACCAGACAATTCAAAGCCCAGCCTTTCTCAAGTAAATTCTCTTACTCGCTGTCTTTCACCTGCAAAGAAAATGTTCCTGACATGGTGATTATGGCTAAGTGCTGTCACTGTAATGGAAGATCATATCTTCCCCGTGTTACCTAAAACAAGCTTCTCTGCTACTTAAAAAATGTTACTGCTCCAAAGTGTCTTTTAAATAGATTCTACTAAAAAGCAATTTTGTTTTCAGGAAATCTGTTTTCTGAGTTTTCCCACCCATGATTCCCAAACTTTCTAAAAATAAAGCAATGCCTATATGCTGACATCTACATTATTAAAAAAGCATAATTTAAAGTATCACTCATCCAGGAAAATATGTTTCTCATGAACAATATACAGTCCAATTCCTTAGGTCTCTGCAAAAAAAGCATTGTTAACAGCCAGGCAGCATTACAGAAAAATAAAAATATTCTGCCACCCCCAAAAATACAACCTAGTTCTGGAACACTATGGGTAATTTTTTAAAAACAGGGATCTGTAATATACTTTTCCCAGTTTTACAATTAACATTTGAACAGTATACTCCAGGAAAAGTGTTTTTTTCATCTGAATCATCATTTATTCCATGAAGGAAGGCTAAACCCATACATATTAGCATATAGTCCGTGAGGAAAAAGTGGTCACAGCTATACTCTGAACACGTAGAGGGCCTATTAGTGACACACAAACATTTTTTATCAGGAAACAGAACCTACACACTAGGAATCACTTCCTGTACCCAACAGTGCATTTTACTTCTCATTAACAGTATTGGCAGGCAAATGGCTCCATTCTTTCATGAAAAGCTTTTGCGGAGCTCATAACAAGTCTATCTCTGACTGGAACATGCTTTTTATTGCTTTGAAGGAGAAATTGCTTTGAAATCATACATTTTCTAATCTTAGGTTTAAATGGGATAGGTGTAATGGCAAATCAATAATTTCACCCCTTTTAAAATACAGCAAACAAACAAGTAGGAAAACTGCTTCCCTTCCTCCCGAAAAAGAAAGCCATGTGAATCTTTGTTTCAATTAACAAATCTTTTAGAAATCATTTTAAAACTCATGTCCGATCTAAAAGTAGTAAATGCAAAAAAGAAAGCAACTAAAATACAGTAATTTTTTTTTTTTAAGCTAGCGTTTTTGTCCAACTTTCCATGAACTGACCATGATCATCCAGGGTGGGGATTACAACCATCCTGGGATTCTCTGACTGCATGCCACCTAGCCATTCATTCCTCACTGACACATCAACCAAATGGCAGCCTTGAAACAAAAATGTACTCAGTTACTTACTTGTAGTGTTTCCAGGACAGTCTGATGCAGGACAGGAAAGAATGAGACTTGTTGCCTGTTCCTATAACATTTTACTCTTCACTGTTAATAGTATGATAAATTTAGAGGTGACGGGGGAAGAAAAGGGAGCTATGTTAATTAAGTGCTTTCCAGGTACCTTGGTACCTTGCACCGTCCTCAGCACTTTATGTATGTGACAAACTCATTATCCTCATTTTAAAGATGAAGGAAGAGGTTTGAAAAGATGAGTAACTTGCCCAACTAGTTAAGTCGCATTGGGCGATTTGTGCACAGTCTCTCTGACCCTAAAGGGGCCTCCCTACAATGGCTGGAATGAAAAGCATTAACATTACTGAATGAAAGCTTTTGGTCTAGAGCTTTATAATGAAATCTAATCAACTCTACTGAAATAAATCAGGATCAGTGATCTCAAGTCACTTGAGTAAACAAAGAAATGAAAATGAGATATTTTATTCTTAAGAAAATCCCATGCTTTTTGTACATAGATGGATGCTCATTCTCAAGTCTATACTTGGAAGTTCACTGGCACAGAATGAGTGATTAATAAGCCTATACGGAGTGAATGAATAAAGGGATCAGGAATGAGGAGTGTGGAATGAGAACGAAGTTTGGTTAGTTAGTTGTAATCTGCGTGAATCGACTTTTTTGTCTCCACTTCTTGAAAAACTAAGTCTCACTTTGTTTTGTAAAAGAACCCTAACTTCTCAGGGTTGGTTAGAAAATCCCGTGTGGTCACGGTGAGCTCAAAAAGCACACAGCAATAGAAGTATTCGAAGCTAGCCAACCAAAATTCCTACAAAAGCAGCTCTTAGAAGACTGTGGGCACAAAAGAACAGAATTTTTTAATTGCTTTTTTTTTTTTTAAGTTGGAGTATCACTCTGCTGCCCAGGCAGGAGTACAGTGGCATACTCACAGCCAACCTGGTGTTGACCTGCTGAGCTCTGGCAATCTTTCCACCTCAGCCTTCCAAGTAACCGAAACTACAGGCGTGCACTACCATGCCCGGCTAATTTTTTATTTATTGTAGAGAGAGTTCTCACTAAGTTGCCCAGGTTAGTCTCGAACCTGGAGATTCAGGCAATCCACTCGCCTCAGACTCCCAAAATGCTGGGATTACAGGCTGAGCCACCGAGCCCGGCCAAATTTTTTTTTAAGAGTCAGGATCTTGTTCTGTTGCTCAAGCTGAAGTGCAGCAGTGCCATCATAGCTCATTGCTTTCCTGGGCTCAAGCAGTTCTCTGACATCAGCCTCATAAGTAGCTGGGACTATAGGCATGCACCATGCCTGGCTATATATATATATATATATATATATATATATATATATATGTATATATATATTTTAAATTTTTTGTAGAGACAGGGTTATGCTATGTTGCCCATGCTGGTCTCAAACTCCTGGCCTCAAGTGATCCTCCTGCCTTGGCCTCCCAAAGTGCTGGGATTATAGGCATGAGCCACCGCACCTGGCCAGGAGAAAAAGGAATAATTCTGGCAGAAATGTATTATTTACAGACATTTCTGAAAATAGGGAAGAAGTGTCATTTAAGTGGTTTTTAAGAGGCAAAAAACAAAGAAGCATCTCTGGCAGATACAGAAAACTCTGTATGGATGCAATGAGGTATCTTCATTTCCAATTTATGTGAAATAGGAAAAAAAAAAACAAAACTGCAAAGGAAAGAGCAGGAAGGAAATCTGAATCAAGGCCTGAGCACTAGAAAAGCGATCCCACAGTGTGACCTAGAGGCAGTTGCGGCCTCCAGGTGGGCAGGGCAGATGGGGAGAAGTGGGCTTTCCAGACGGCCTCAATCAAGACCAAAGGAGACGAGAAGCCAAGGAGGGACTGGACTCCACCAGGCACAAGAGGAACCCCAGCCAGGGAACTGTTCTGGCAAGCAGGGCCAGCAAGCTGTCATCACGGCAAGGACAGAGGGAAGGCCCAGGCCCTGTCCCAGGGCTCTCTTGCTCTGTCAACTGCTGGCAATGCCAGGCCTTGGGACGTTGGCGGCCAGCAGGGCCAGGTCCGGGAGGTGCTTCCGCAGGCCCAGGGCAGGGGAAGGCCGCGGGCCTGGTGGTGGAAGGTGGTTAAGACACGCCTGCTGCTGGGGCAGAGAGGCCACGTGGGTTCTGTGGGAGCTGAGGGCTAGGCCTGTGAAGAGAAAGGAGAAAGAACTGGAAAGGAGCAGCCTGTGGCCATGCATGTACACACCTGCCTGAGGTGAAAGGCCTCTCGGAGAAGAGAAAGTTCCCTACTTGAAGCAACAAATGTTAGAGTACTACAAGGAAACACAGAGCTGCCAACTTCTGCCAACTTTGGAAGAAGGGATGTTGGAACTGTGAAAACAACGTGGAAGGAGAGTGTGGGGCCTAAGGTTGTGAAATGGCGTCCCTGGGTGGTTTTGAAATTGGGTTGACTGTGCTGTGGAAAAGGATTGTTTGGCTAAGCAAATAAAGGGGAAAATCGACACAGGCGTTATTTCTTGTGGATATCTGAATGAAGTTACAAATCAAACTTGCAGTGACTGGTAAATTCTGGTGCCTAAAAACTATGTGGAACTGATTACAGTTTACTAATCTCGGAGAACATTCCTGTTTTCCAACTGACCAAGACCAAGCTGGCACCAGATGATGTATGGCTGGTTTTTTTGTTTTGTTTTGTTTTACACTCATTGAATTAAGAGTCAGAGCAGAAAGTGACTTCCTTCCACAATTTCTTTTCTGTTTTTTAAAGATGATCATTACTAACATTTTTTCACTTTTTAAAACATCTATTCTTATTTTTTAAAAATAGTTTAATTTTGTTTTTAACTTTTTAATATTTTATTTTTCTTTTGAGTAGGAGTCTCACTGTGCTGCCCAGGCTGGAGTGTAGTGGCATGAACATGGCTCACGGCAGCCGCCACCTGCTAGGCTCAGGCGATCCTTCTGCCTCAGCCTCCCGAATAGCTGGGACTACAGGCATGTACCACCATGCTTGGCTAATTCTTTTGATTTTTTTGTTGAGATAAGGTCTCACTATATTGCCCAGGCTGGTCTAGAACTCTGGAGCTCAAGTAGTCTTCCTGCCTCAGCCTCCCAAAGTGCTGGATTACAGATTACAGGCTTGAGCCACCGTGCATGGCCTATTTTTGTATTTTTTTTCATTTGTTTTAAGTTTTTCTTCTTCTTCTTTTTTTTTTTTTTTCTTTAAACAAACTCTTGTGTCAAGGGCTGACTTTCAATAGAGCAGTGAGGAAACTGCTCAGCTATGTACAAAACCCTGGCCCAGAAGCAGGATGTCTCCCTGGCTTAACACGAGGTTCCCCAGTACATGATGAAAACATTTTATTTTGAACAATTTCAAACTTATGCCAAAGCAGATAAAATAATATAACATAGCCCCATATGACCATGACCCAGCTTTGAAAGCCATCAAGTCCTGGCTAACCGTGTTTCGCCTCTTCTTCTGTGCCTCACTCTCTCCCAGTGGGATTCCTTTTTTTTTTTTTTTTTTTTGAGT